GATCCATGGGTGTTGTTAAGTTACTTTGAAAGTTTTAACTAAAAGTCTGTCTAAAGATATTATTTATAAAATCATGTTATTTTATTTATCTCTGTTTTTCTTAATTTTTCTGCTTTGTTTTGACTATTGGGATATGAAGGTTCTCCTACTTAGGTGTTAGAGTGGGTACCCACACGGCCCGATGGGTTGGGTAGTGACAATTCTTGACACTCAACTCAATATAAAGCAACAATAAAATATGCAATACATCGAAAGCTTTGAAAACAATAGATAGCAAGTCAATGTATTAGAAATACAATGTAAGTCTGTTTGTACACGAGCATGAAAAGTAAACTATGTTTGTATATAAAAATACAAAATAAACTCAGTGTATAAAAGAATACAAAATATCTCTGTGGGAGTTTCTCTAACTGACAACTATCAATATGAGTTATGTGATAATACAACGTCTCATCTACACTGCCAGAACTGTCTAATACTCTGCCAGGGTATTTGACCTACTAACTAAGTGGATCCACTACTCTATTAGAAAAACCATTAAGGAATCATCTAAAATGTATGACCCTTTCTACCCACGTTTGCTACATGGTTTATGGGGGCTATGAGTCATCTAAACTCTCCCCTATATTAGTGTTCAATACTACTCCTACAATATACTAGCTCATATGTTTAAAAACGTAACTTTTTCTATGGTTTGAGATTATTACTCAAAAACATTTTCTCTTAAAAGAGAAGGTACTCAAACTCGTCAAACCTCTTTTGGAAATCTTAGTTTCCTCTCATCTTAAATGTGTAGTTCCCATATATCATTTTAAAGAAAAAGAACTCAAGTCTGCTCTTTCTCAAAAACATTTCAAAATCATATTATAATATGATCATTAATGACTCGGGAAGTCATGCTGCATAAACATTGATGGTATCTCTAGATACCATACTGCTCTTACATTGATCACATACTCAATTGTCATACTAATCATGATTTAGAAAACTCTTTTCTCAAAACTCATCCTTACTTTCTCAGAACTCAGTTTAAGAACTCAAGTGTTGGCTTTAAAAAGCTTTTTTTAAATTTATAACTCCACTCATAGGGTTCATGTGGAATTATGAACATGAACGACTCAAATCAGGGATCTCAATAACAATAAAGAACCACAATACTCAGAACTCAAGACTCAATGATACTACTCATATCTAGACTGCTCGACCTCAGGGTCTAAATAACAATATGGATCTCATGTATACTACTCTTCTCTTTCGCATACTTACTTCCTCAAAACTCAGTTTAAAACTCAAGTGTTGGCTTTGAAAAACTTCTCATGATTTAAAACTCAAAATAGGCTTCATGTTGAATTATAGATATGAACAAATCAACTCAAGGATCTCAATAAAAATATAGAAAATCAATAATTTAGAATAAAAAATTTAAAAGAACCATGAACTCAAGAACTCAAATAAACTTATCTCAAGAATACTCAAATCTAGGGGTAGAATCTTAGATTTCTCTTTTACAGATTTGAAAGAAGATGTAAGGTGTGGGGATGAACTAGTCCAACACTATGATAGACCCAGGGGCGGAGCCAATAGTGTGTCAGGGGTTTCACCCGAACCCCCTTCGGCAGAAAATCTTACTATTTATACATGGTTAAAATTATTTTTTTGTATATATTGTAGATGTCGAACCCCCTTCGATTAGTTCGTATATTTACTTTTTCAGATTTTGAACCCCCTTATTAAAAATTCTAGCTCTGCCACTGATGATAGTCTTACATACATTGAAGAATAATGTTCTTGATGAACTTGATTATAAACCTTGAAACCCTAGCTTAAAGATACGATCAAGAAAATGTTTCTTTAAATTCTTGAATTAGTTTCTTTAAATTTCTATGGCCAAGAATTATGATTTTCATTAGTGATTCATTTTTATATGGAAGAATTTGAGTTGGAAAGAATGGAATTCTTCGAGAAAAACTTACCTTGAAGAAGAATCTTGAAAAACATTGGAAGAATCTTGAAACATATTGAAAGAATCTTGAATGAAGTCTTCTACTTTGATTTTTCTTTAGGGTTTTGTCTTAGGGTTTGAGAGAGAAGAGAATGATGGATTAAAAGATGAAAATTTAATTGTTTTGAGCCTTTTATTAGTCAAGAAATTTGTTTAGGGTTTTCTTGGAGTTAAAAAGAGAAAAAGGACCATTTTTTATGTTTTTCCGTCGGTTAATTTGTAACACTGTTTCAGGTTACTAAAATAGTCATATCTTTTAACTCAGAAATTGGAGTGACGTGATATTGGTGGAGTTGGAAAGTAGATTTAAATACCTTTAATTTGATAGGCTATGGGCCACGTAACTCTTTATATTCAAAAAGATATGGTCGTTTGAAGTTGACCCAAGTAGAATTCTACATCAAAACTTAATCGATAAGGAAACTTCAAGAACACTTATCAAGAACTCATCAAGAAATCAAATTGCTTAATATTTATGGATACATTCCCAAAAGAAACTCATGATTGGCCTGTGGGTTAACAAACCCAACACTATAGAAGTTTAGATACCTCAAAGAACTAGGTTCTTGGCGAAATCTAGAATTTCTTGAACTAACGCTTGAAACTTTGAACTTTTTCTCCTCTTGAATATTCTCTCTAAAACCCTAAACTCTTTTGGGGATGAATGAAACTGTTTCTAATCAGTTTAGACTCCTAAAACCTTACTAAAAACCTTTAACTCCGATTGGGTAAGTAAAAGACCAAAATACCCCTCATATTTTTGGGTAACTTTCCTTATTTGGACAGCCCAACTTTAAACGGGCATATCTCCCTTATACGAGCTCGAAAATCAGCAAACTCGGCGGCGTTGGAAAGAGGATTCCAAGACCATTCATTTGATATCTTATGGGTCTCCTAACTCATTCTGTGCTAAAGATGGTCATTTGAAATTGATCTAAAACTTAAAAGAACTAACGAATGACTTGAATGAATTCTCTTTAATTCTTTTTGGAACTCAAGGTTCTATATCAAGTGACATGACCTTAATACTTAAGAATTTTTAAATTCCTTGGTAAAATCCTACTCATAACGAAGGATGGTTCGAGTCTTAGTTCATAAAATTTCTGGGATGTTACAATATGTGAGACATTTTTATAATAAGGGTATATCAGTTCTAAATGATAGAGTTGAGGGATTAATCAAACCCCTTTCCTATTAAATTATGTAATTCTTCATAACAAAGCTAATACACTCCAACTTACTTGATACATTATTCTTTTTATTTCTACATAAAATGAGAAGTATAAAGTTAATTATTTTGTTTTTAAAAAAAAGTTAAGCAAATTGATCCATTTTGAGTGACTTAGAAAAACAAAAATTAAGAACATCACCCAACAAAGAGTGACTTAAAAGTAATTTTAAAAAATAAATAAAAGTTTTTAAAAAATCACTCAATTGGGAGCAACTTTAATTTTTTTTTTAAAAAGAAGTGGACCAAATTGCTCAATTTGGAGCGACTTCGAAAAGAAAAATGATGAAGCAAAACACTCAAATATGAGAGACTTTTTAAAAACAACTATTTGTTTAGTTAATATAAAAATAAATCGCTCAACTTTTAGCATTGTCCATTTTGGTTAAATAGAAAAAGAAGTAGTCCTTTGTGTATTTTAGTTTTAAAAAAAAGGGGCCCTTTTGACTCCCGACTCAAGAATCATGCAGGTGTACAAAATCGTACCTTCTTGCAATCTACATATTGTAGTCAATTGCAAGCGCGGATGGTCGTGCTACGATTAAGAAGAGATAGTAACAAGACAGCTCTCCTTTGGCATGTCAGCTTTAATATATAGTTGCATGCCAATAGAGAGTAGCCCTATCATTGTTTCTCTTATTATCATTCACCAACTCTTCTTTCTTTGTGTTAGGATATTAAGAAGAGACAATAACAAGGCATCTATCCTTTGGCGTGCCATCTGAAATAAACAATTGCATAGAGCGTAGTCGTAAACCTATTTCTTTTATAAATTCAAGTATATATTTTCCTTCACCAACTCTCTTTTTTTCCCTCATTTTTCTGCTTTTTTTTATCACAGAAGAGCCTTCCAAGACTATATAGTTAATTATTTTTCAGTTTAAGATATGGTATAAACCCATGGAGAATCAGCATATCCTGTCATTTTTATGATGTGTGGACTGTGGATTTATCTTCTTTCTTTTTATAGGGTCGGAAAATGACTAACTTTTGTATCTCAATAGCATTTCATTTCATGAAGCTCCTTTATGAAAATATTTTCATCAAATTCCCCCTATTGACTTAGCCATGAATTTAAGATGTAGAAATAAGTTCGTTGAAAGGAGGAGATATTGCTTGATTTGTGACTATGAAGTGAGTCATTTGAGTATTCTTTTACAACATATCCTTTGTCATAATCCTCTTCTCTTATCCATCTACTTTTCTATTTCAAGTCTATTTTTGCTTTCATGTGGCTTTTCAATTTTTAGAGTGTCAGTCTCACTTTATTAGGAGCTTTTTGTGTCTATGATGAAGTGTGCTTGACTCTTTTACAACATATCCTTGGTTACATTCTTCATCTTCCTCTTCTTTTTTCTGTATCGACATTTCTTTGCAACCTCGGAAATGTTTTCAATTTAGGATCTGGAGTGATTTCTTGGAGCTTAAAGAAGCAGTATGTGGTTGCATTATTATCATCATGAGGGAGTGTTGAATATTGATTTTCAAACGTAATTAGAGGTTCCTATTTATTTGGCAAAGTAACACGTTTGTTAGGAGTCCGAATTGAGTCAAAGAATATCTTCTATTAGTTGCTAATATTTAGCTTAGTGGATAGGGTTGTGGTTAAGTTAGTGGGTCATGTCTCTCTTAGGTGGTTGAGTTTTAATTCCTATTTAAAGTGTCCTATGTATTTGATTTTAAAATATCAGAAATATAACGTTAAAGTTCTATGTAATTCTTCTTTTTTCTTCTTATACGTTGTTTATTCTTTCTTTATTACACAACAATATGCACTATCTTAAAGCAATGATCAAACAGACTCTCATGCTTCCTCCACCGATTCCACAAACAGTTCCTCGAGAATCAGTAAAAGATGTAAATTTACTTGGTTACCATATAGCCGCTGGAACTCAAGTCATCATCAATTCTTGGACCATCAGAAGAGATCCTTTATCATGGGAAAATCCAGAGGAGCATCGATCAGAGAGGTTCTTAAATAGTACTATTGATGTCAAAGGAATAAACTTTGAGTTGATTCCGTTTGGGGCAGGCAGAAGGGGCTGCTCAGGAACTGCTTTTGCTGTTGTGATAAATGAGCTAGCATTAGCAAGGCTTGTGCACAAGTTCAATTTTGCGTTACAAGAAGGGTTAAAACTAGAAGATTTGGATATGACCGAAGGTAGTGGCATCACGATTCGTAGGAAATAACCTCTACTAGCACTGGCCACTACATGGTCTAGTCAGTTATTGTTGGTAGTAAATACTCCTTCCGTCCAACAATAGTTATCCACTATATTATTTTGGATGTTCAACAAAACTTGTCCATTTTATGAAATCAATAAATAATTTTACATTTAATTCCTTATTTACCTTTATCATTAATTATAGTCATTTTATTATTACATTTTTTTAAGACGTTATATTTATTATATTCATATGTGATATAGTAAAAGTATCCTTCTATTTATAGTTTCTTAAAAAGTGTGCAAAGTCAATACTGGACAACTATTGTTGGACAGAGGGAGTAGTTTCATGATATGAAGTAAGTGTACTGGTCTACTACCTTTTTGGATGTTTTTGTACATCTCTTTTATGCAAGGTATCTTATATTTATTATGAACCGCATATAACAAAGGTATCTTATTTTACCCAATGAGTTGTTCCATGGAAATTCATGATTTGTATAACACATTTTTTTCATTGATTCGCTATGGGAATACCTTTATTTCTAGTAGTGATATGTTTCATATTTTAGATAAGAGAGGTGTGCACGTAATCAACAACTTATAATTTTTTTTTTCATTTGAATGAAATAAATTTGGGAATTAATGACAAAGGGAGCTGTGTAATTAATTTGAGTAAATATACATATTTGAGTCAAAAAAAATGTGTGTTTCATCCTAGACTAAATAATGTGAGACTGATACTCGGAAAATAAAAAAGCCACTTGAAAGCCAATACCACCCATATACAAATCTTTCATCAAAACCCGCACAACAGAATCTCCCGAGTCACCACTCCCAGAGCTTGTGTTGAAGGTTAACGCAGAACTGATCGACTATTTTCACAATTTATTTGTCGAGGCTGATATGGTTGAACTCGGAGAAGGCACTAGTGACAAAGATGTGTAACTCATTGGTCCTGATGTCCAACTAAACAATTGGGAGGTCACTCCTCTCCCCATTAAGAAAAAGTCTTGGTAGTCTCTCTTGTTTTCCTTTCTGCTATCCGATTTATTCAAGGATTGTAATTCAGATGGTGTTTTGTTGTTTTATTTCAAAACTTTCTATCTTTCTTTTCAATAGGATGTAATTGGGTTTTTATTCCAGTCTAATATATTTATTTATTTTCTTTTATACAGTTCTTTCTATGTTGATTCTAGTGATATGACATGCATGCAGAATTTTTCATCAGATCTTAAAATCCAATCTAATCATCAACCTAATCCTGAAATAATAAGTCGAGAAGTCAAATATGATGAGGATGAAGTATTTGAAGAAGTAAGCAGGGATTTCGAACATTTTGAGAATAAATCAAACCCAAACATGAGTGAAACAGAGACAATAAATTTAGGAGATCATGAAAATATCAAAGAGACTAAGATAAGTGTACATGCTCGACAATAAAAGAAAGTTATAATCCAGGCACTGTTTGATTACAAGGATGTTTTTGCATCATCTTATGATGATATGCCCGGATTAAGCACTGACATGGTGGTTCACAAGTTGCCGACTGACCCTAAGTTTCTGCCTGTTAAGCAAAAGTTGAGAAAGCTTAAAACTGACATGACTATCATAATTAAGGAGGAAATCACAAAACAACTTGAAGCCAAAGTCATTCGAGTCGCTCAATATCCTTCTTGGTTGGCCAACATCGTACCCGTCCCTAAGAAAGATGGTAAAATTCGAGTATGTGTTGATTATTGTGACTTGAACAAAGCAAGTCCAAAAGATAACTTTCCTTTGCCCAACATCCATATTTTGTTGGACAAATGTGCAAAACATGAAATTTCTTCTTTTGTGGATTGCTATGCGGGTTACTATCATATTATTATGGATGATGAAGATGCGGACAAAACATATTTTATCACACCATGGGGTACCTATTGTTATCGAGTCATGCCATTTGGGTTAAAAAATGTGGGAGGAGTATGACAACCATGTTTCATGATATGATGCATAAATAGATTGAAGTTTATGTGGATGATGTGATCATTGAATCTAAAGGGCGGTCAAATCATGTACAAGACTTAAGAAGATTCTTCGAAAGGCTCCACAGGTATAATCTCAAGCTTAATCCTACAAAATGTGTATTTGGAGTACCGTCAGGAAAGTTTTTGGGATTTATAGTTAGTCGACGAGGTATTGAGTTAGATCCTTCAAAAGTAAAAGCCATTCAGGAATTGCCACCTCTGAAGAACAAAACTGAGGTTATGAGCCTTCTGGGAAGGTTAAACTACATCAGTAGATTCATTGCTCAACTCACAACAACCTGTGAGCCCATTTTTAAGTTGTTAAAAAAGAATGCTATGGTTGAATGGACTGAAGAATGTCACAAAGCTTTCGAAAGAATTAAGATCAAATCCCCATGTGTTGGTTCCGCCTGAGCCGGGTAGATCATTGATATTATATATGTCTGTATTAGATAACTCTTTCGGTTGTGTACTAGGTCAACATAATGTCACCGGGAAGAAAGAGCAAGCCTTTTATTACCTCAGCAAGAAATTTACCACTTATGAATCTAAGTACACTCTTCTTGAAAGAACATGTTGTGCCTTGACTTGGGTAGCACAGAAGTTGAAGCATTATCTTTCGTCTTATACGACTTACCTCATCTCCCGTATGGATCCTTTAAAATACATTTTTCAAAAGCCTATGCTCAGCGGCAGGCTTGCGAAATGGCAAATGTTACTCATAGAGTTTGACATTATCTATGTGGCACGGACCGCAATGAAAGCTCAAGCGTTGGCAGATCATTTGGCAGAAAACCCTATTAATGAAGAATATGAACCACTTAAGACCTATTTTCCAGATGAAGAGTTGTCATGTATCGATGAAGTCATTCACGATATCGATCAAGGATGGAAGTTATTCTTTGATGGTGCCTCTAACAAGAAAGGAGTTGGGATAGGAGTTGTTCTTATGTCTGAATCATGTGAATATTACCCTATAACAACCCAACTTAGATTCTATTGTACTAATAATATGTCAGAGTATGAGGCTTGCATCTTGGGTTTGAGGTTAGCTATTGACATGGGCATCCAAGAGTTGTTAGTGCTAGGAGACTCAGACTTACTAGTCCATCAAATTCAAGGAGAATGGGAGACACGTGACCCAAAGCTTATACCATATCAACATTGTTTACAAGATCTTTGTCAACGGTTTGTGTCAATAAAGTTTAGACACATTCCTAGAGTTTATAATGAGATTGTTGATGCATTGGCAACTTTATCTTCGATGCTCCAACATCCTGACGAAGCTCATATCGACACCCTTTGTACATACAGATTCGTGATTAGCATGCTTATTGCAACATGGTGGAGGAAGAATTTGATGGTAAACCTTGGTTCCATGATATTAAAACATATCTTCAGTCCGAAGAATGTCCTACTAATGCCACTAGTAATCGAAAAAGGACTATTCGACGACTAGCTAGAGGTTTTTTCTTAAGCGGAGGAATTTTGTACAAAAAGACTCCTGACTTGGGTCTTCTAAGATGTGTAAATTCTAGAGAGGCCTCAACAATCATGATTGAAATACACTCCGGAGTTTGTGGGCCTTACATGAATGGATATGTTTTAGCAAAGAAGATACTTTGAGCAGGTTATTATTGGCTCACCATGGAGTGGGATTCCATATGATTTGTTCGTAAATGTCATGAATGTCAAATACACGGTGATTTAATACATTCTCCTCCCTCGGAATTGCATGTGATGTCTTCCCCATGGCCTTTTGTGGCATGGGGAATGGATGTGATTGGACCAATAGAACCAAAAGCATCGAATGGTCAGAGGTTCATCCAGGTGGCCATTGATTATTTTACAAAGTGGGTGGAAGCGGTAACTTTCAAGTCAGTGACTAAGAAGGTCGTGGTGGATTTCATTCATTTCAACATCATCTGTCGATTTGGTATTCCAAAGGTAATTGTTATCGATAATGCTGCAAATCTCAACAGTCGTTAAATGCAAGAGGTATGCCAGCAGTTTAAGGTTGAACATCGGAATTCGACTCTGTATCGCCCAAAAGCGAATGGGGCTGTAGAAGCTGCTAACAAAAATATAAAAAAAATACTTCGTAAAATGGTGCAAGGTTCTCGGCAATGGCATGAAAAATTGCCTTTCCTTTGTTGGGTTATCGCACTACAGTACGTACTTCAGTAGGTGTCACCCCCTATTCATTGGTATATGGGACTGAGGCAGTCATACCTGCGGAGGTTGAGATTCCATCCTTACGAATTGTTGTGGAGGCTGAAATCGATGATGATAAGTGGATCAGAACACGGTTAGAGCAACTAAGCTTGATTGATGAAAAACGATTGACATCCATATGTCATGGACAATTGTACCAGAAAAGAATGGCACGACCATACAACAAAAAGGTGTGTCCCAAACGTTTCGAAGAGGGTCAATTAGTGTTGCGACGCATTCTGCCACATGATGCCGAAGTCAAAGGCAAATTTTCTCCAAATTGGAAAGGACCATTCATTGTAAAGAAGGTATTATCCAATTGTGCTCTTTACTTAGGAGATATAGAAGGAAAAATGACAGAAATGGCCGTCAATGTTGATGCCGTGAAAAGATATTATATATGATTTGATTTCTCAGTATTAGAAACCCTCATGTTTGGACTGGACATTTCAAAGGTTGATGTAATGGAAATTCATGGTTTTGTATATAAGTATTAAGTCATATCTGGCTACCCTTGTTGAGATTTAATTACTTCCTTGGCTCTTCTGCTTCCTTGGTTCTTAAAAAAAAGTCTATGAAAAAAAAGAGTCTAAAAAAAAAGTAGAAGAAGAAAAGAACAAAAAGAAAAAGAAAAATTCATCATCATGAACTATGTTTGACTTGATTCTTGTTTCGACAAGATACGTAGGCAACCCTTATGTTGGGGTTCAGTCCAACCAAATAAAAATCCAAAATTCCATATTTCAAAAAACTGGGGCAAAAGTCATTTTATTTTATTTTTATTTTTATTTTATTTTTCTTT